CGATCCCAGGACCCTAGAATCATGACCCGAGTCGAAAGCAGATGCTTAACCAACTGAGCCACCCAGGCGCCCCTAATTTGCAGTTTTAAAATCATGAGTCAGGTGCGTATCTTTCATGCACTGTTGGACATCTGCATTTTTCCCAGTGAATTACCTACCCATAGTCTTGACCTGTTTTTTCTACTGATTTTTTTCCTTATTCATTTCATTTTTTTTTTTAAAGATTTTATTTTATTTAGAGAGGGACAGTGAGAGAGAGCATGAGAGGGGAGAAGGTCAAACGGAGAAGACTCCCCGTGGAGCTGGGAGCCTGATGGGGGACTCAATTCTGGGACTCCAGGATCATGACCTGAGCCGACCGAAGGCAGTCGCTTAACCAACTGCGCCACCCAGGTGCCCTTTCCTTATTCATTTCTAAAAGTTCTTTATATATTAAGAAATTACCTTTTTTGTCATCCATGTTCCGCAATTACCCCACCCCCAATTTTATTCTTTGTCTTTTGAATGTTTTTACACCACATACAAAAGACTTATATATTTAACTGTCATTTATGTTATTTTTTCTTTGTCTTTTATAATTTGGAACAGATTTTTAAAGGCCTTCCCCACTCTAAGATTATAAAAGGTAGCCCTCGTTTTTTTTAGTTTACTATTGGTTCTGTTTTTTACACTGAAAGTTTAGTTCAACTTGGAATTTATTTTTATATAAAAAGTGAGGTATGTATCCAACAAGCCCAGTTGTCTCAACATCACTAACTGAATGCTTTATCTTTACCAATTTGAAATACTACATTTATCAACACCCACATATATTTGGATCTATTTAAGGACTCTCTATGCTGTTATATTTGTCTGTTTACTTTAGTTTCGATTACAAATAGTTTTAGGGGCACCTGGCTGGCTCAGTCAAGAGAGCAAATGATCCTTGATCTCTGGGTTGTGAGTTTGAGCCCCACGTTGGGTATAGAGATTAGTTAAATAAATAAATAAACTCTAAAAAAGCCCTAAAAATAGTTTTAGTTGCTGCTGATTTATCATATTTTTTTTCTTAATCCCCTTTTATTTTTTTTATTAACATATAATGTATTATTAGCCCCAGGGGTACAGGTCTGTGAATCATCAGGCTTACACACTTCACAGCACTTACCATAGCACATACCCTCCCCAATGTCCATAACCCAGCCACCCTCTCCATACCCCCCATCATAATGTTTTTTTTTTAAGATTTTATTTATTTATTTGTTGTAGAGAGAGAGAGAGAAAGCACAAGTAGGCAGAGTGGGAGGCAGAGAGAGAGGAGGAAGCAGGCTCCCCACTGAGCAGAGAGCCTGATGTGGGGCTCGATCCCAGGACCCTGGGATCATGACCTGAGCCGAAGGCAGCGGCTTAACCCACTGAGCCACCCAGGTGCCCCCATCATAATGTTTTTAAATAGGCTATGACTTTTGCTCATTTCTCTATTTCAGAGTTTTTTAGCTATCCTTGAGTGTTCATTCTTCCCGTATTTTTATATCATTTTGACATGTTCAAAAAAAAAAAAATTCTGCTGCTAGTTTGATTGGGATTGCTTTGAATGAGTAGATTACTTAGGGGAAACTGACATCTTTATGATATTGAGTTTTCCTGCTTAAGAACAAGTTATATCTCTACATTTATTCTTTTATGTCCTTAGTAGAGTTTAAAGCAAGGTTTATTGCTCAGCCTCTGGGGGTTTTTTGGTGCTACTGTTAAAGGACTCTTTTCTTCTATTAGTTTTCTAGCTAGCTATTGTTTGTTTACTCACGAGAAAGCTAATGATTGTATTTGTAATTAGAATACTTCCAATATTTCAAAATCAAGCATATGGTTATGCAAAATCAAGACATGGGTGAACTTTTTTTTTTTCTTCTTAAAGAATTTTATTACGAGGTTTCTCACCAATTAGGGAAAAGCTTATTTACCAGTAAGAAAAAAGTCCTTATTTTAAAACACAAGTGGAAAAACACCAAAAAGAATTTGGCACAGTAACTGTGGTGAACTCCAGCATTCCCCTGTCCAGTTCCTGTCAACAGCACTCTCTTGGGGCGCACTCAGAGCTTCCAGAAAGAACACCAAACATGCCCTTGTCACGTGACACCTCAGGGCACGAAGGCTCCCCCATGACCTCTCCCTGCGCGCACAAGCACATTAACACAGCCCGTCACGTGCAAACCCCCCATCTAAACGGAGATTAAACGGGACTTAGGATATTAACGTTCTGAAACGAGCACTAGCAGCGAAGCAGAACACAACACAAACGTCCCAATCTAAGAACCTCTACACCTCAGATGGCTCCCAGTGCTCGGCCATCTCCTGAAGACTCCTAGGAGAGGAAGGTACGCACGGTGCCCTTGATTATGCCCCTGCAGATGGGGCACTTTCTCAGAGATGGGGCGCACTCCTGACACACGACCAGGTGGCCGCAGGGAATGAACACGACGGACACCTCCTTGTCCATGCACACTTTGCACGCCCTCTCCTCCTGCAGCCGCCGCAGCTGCTCCTCCAGCGACAGACCTGAAACGTCTTCTGTTGGAATATACTTCATGGTCTTGTCCACAAATAAGTTCTTGTATAACGTGGAGTCGATTTCTTTTAAGCAACTTTTGAAGATGTTGGCCGATGATGTCAAAGACATGGGTGAACTTTTAAAAAACAGATTGAGTTTTTTAAACAAGATTTTTTTATTCTTAGAGAGAGCACTCACCAGAGCAGAGGGAAAGGGAGATAGAATCTCCAGCAGCCTCCCTGCTACGTGTGGAGCATAGCGCAGGGCTCTCACAACCTTGAGAGCATGAGCTGAGCTGAAACCACGAGTCAGACGCTCCACTGACTGAGCCACCCAGTTGCCCCTGGATTTAAAACATTTGTAATAAGGGCACCTGGGTGGCTCAGTGGGTTAAAGTCTCTGCCCTCAGCTCAGGTCATGATCTTGGAGTCCCAGGATCAAGTCCCCCATCAGGCTCTCTGCTCAGTAGGGAGTCTGCTTCTCCCTCTGACCTCCCCTCTCATGTTCTTTCTCTCTCTCACACATAAATAAATAAAATCTTTTTTTTTTTAATTGTCATAAGGGGCACCTGGGTGGTTCAGTGGGTTAAGCCTCTGACTTCGGCTCATGACATGATCTCAGGGTCCTGGGATCGAGCCCCACATCGGGCTCTCTGCTCAGCAGGGAACCTGCTTCCCCCTGTCTCTGCCTGCCTCTCTGCCTACTTGCGATTTCTCTCTCCCTGTCAAATAAATAAATAAGTAAATAATCTTGAAAAAATTGTAATAAAATAAAACAGCTCAGAATTGCACATGATCACGAAGTGGTCCTAGGTATAGTAAGAGCCCATCATGTAACGTGATACTGATTTTTCCCAACAGCTTTTACCTGCCACCTCATATCTTGCTCTCATAACCCTCCGTCCTCCTTCACAGAAACACCCCTTCAGCAGTGAACACCCAGGAACACACCTCTGTGGAAGGACAGGCAAAACAGCCTATTTTTTCTATTTTTCCCAGAACAAGGCAGAAAATATTTCTTCCAAGGTAACCATCCACGACCTGAGTGCTTTTACGATTCTACAGCAGATAATTCAATGTGCTTTTAGGAAAGATGAGAGTTAAAAACAACACAAAGAGTAATAATGAGTCAGAGGCTAGAATTATCTCTAATAATAAAAAAAATTTAAAGATCAAGCATAATTCTGACTTTGCTCTGGAGTACAAACAAGTCTTTGGTCAAAGGTTTACCTGAAAACCCAATCCACTCCCAGACCTGCTGCCTGGACCCAACCACAGCCTTTCAGGAGGAGAGGGGCTCTCACTGTCTTAGAGCCTATATGACATCCAGCCCTCTCCCCCAAAGTTCTAACCCAAGCCCAGTTCCAAGCTTACCTGACATAACCATAGCCCACCTGTACTTCTAAGAACCCCTGTCTGTTCCTTCTTACCATGTCCTGCCTAGCAGCCTACAGGGACTTTCTGTGACCCCCGGCTGGACCCCTCAGCTCTGGGCCAAGCGCCAGCCCCAAGGCTCCCACTATCTGTCTGTCTAGTATCTGAGACTGCTTCCTGCCTGCCCACTTGGACAAATGTCCAGAGTCTGTCCTCCCATATTATCTCACTGGTGTCGGAGCAGGAAAATGTATCTGTCTAACCCAGCCCTTCTAGTCCAGCCCCCTCTGCGGCACCAAGTTCAACAGTGGTGACCGGCCACCACGAGAAAGCCCTGACACAGCAACGCACATCGATGCTTGCTGTGTGCTGAACAAGTGTAAGCACCTTTTACGAATTAATTAATGAATTAATCCTTGCAACAACACCATGGGTTGGACTCTATCACCATTGCCATTTTAGGGATTTATTTTTTAAACATGGCCCAGAATTCTTACATGATCTACTCAAAATTACAGAGCTAGTCAACGGCAAGTTCAAATCCAGCAGCGTGCCTCCAGGCTCCAAACTCTTTACACTGAGAGAGAAAGAGGCTGGCCCTGGGCCTTCCAGAAAGGCAGCTACTTTGTATCCACCAAACACCTTCCAGCCTAATCCTCCTGCCCTTTTTGACTGGCCACTGCCTCGAAGTCTGAAATGCCAATGACAGTTTGCCAGAAGTGTGCTCTTTCTCAAGTCTCACCAGCCAGGGCTGCCCTTCTCACGAGAGGGACTGAACACCAGGCCCCACCCACTTTCCAAAATCACCGAAGCCCCTGTGTCACGGGCCTCGCCTACCATCCGTCCCAGCTCATAGTCCCTTTGGCATTTTCTCTCCTCTGGCTTTATCGGAGCAACAGAGAGCCTATTCTTACCACAGTCACAACCCCTGAGCCCAGCAGTCTCCTGCCTGACCAATACCAGGATCTCATATCGTTATTAAAACAAAAAATGTCCAGTCAAGTCCAAAAGCACCAAGCCACTCACTGCACGCAGGCAATCTCAGTCTCTCTGTGCCAATCTCTCTCTCTTTCTCTCTCTTCCACCTTAGGTGCCCTCACCTGTCACAATGGGGTAGGACTGTGGTCCAGGCACGCTGCTCCCGATGTCGGCAGGGGTGGGACTGGTCAGGTTGGCCTTCATGTCGTCCAGCCCTCCAGCCAGCGAGGCCATCGCTGAATACTCAGTGGTCTGAAAGAGGAAACAAAAGAGAGAGAGCTCAGTATCCAGACTCCAAAACACCTCGGCCAGACGCCAGCACCAACCACATTCTGGGGTTCAGCCACCTCACTGGGCTAGCCCATGCCGGTGCCAAGGCCCACTGAGGGCTCACAACCCCCATTCCCCGCCCCCAGTGTCGAGAAAGCAGGCTCAGCTCAACAGAACAAGACGGGTGTCCAAACTCAGCAGCTGTCCCTGGGGGAGGAGGTGGGCGGTCTTCAGTGCAGCCGCACTAGAATCCCAGCCTAGCTTCCTGTCCCTGCAGGTTCCACCTGCCCCGTCCTGGCGGCCACAGACGGCCACTCCCATGCAGGGAGGGAGATGTCAGCAACCAAGAACAAGACAGAGATAAGAGTCGTGTTGCCAAGAGGTTGGAGAGAAAAGTGTCCGACTTCAATGCTCTTAAACCACAGACGCAGAATACCAGAAACAAGGTTAAGAGGAGTCTGAGACATCATCGTGCCATGCCTTCAGTTCATAGATGAGCACACTGAGGCCCGAGGCAAAGAGGGTTCTGTCCGCGGCCAACAGGGCAGAATCCCAGTGCAGGGAGTAGTCCCCCAAAATCTTTCACTCAAAATCCAATACAATATGACCAAACGAACCACAGTTTGGCAAGCACCTGTCTGCTGAGAACTGCGGGGCGCACAGCTGGACTGAGCACGTTCACTCCAACTGTGGGCGCCTAGCCCACAATCGTGCTCCTTTCTTTAAGCCATTTCATGAAATCAGAGCTTGGGATGAGTCATTTCCTTGGCATACATGCCACCATCACAGCAGTCTCCAAAAGATGCCAACCTTGGTCTTCCCATTCAGGGACAGACAAAATGAGAAGCATGAATGCCAGGTCCCTTCCTTCCACCTAACCCCCAGGCCGATTTTCAGGTAAAGAAAATATTTGCAGAGGCGCCTGGGTGGCTCACTGGGTTAAAGCCTCTGCCTTTGGCTCAGGTCATGATCCCAGGGCCCCGGGGATCAAGCCCCACATCAGGCTCTCTGCTCAGCGGGGAGCCTGCTTCCCTCTCTCTGTCTCTGCCTGCCTCTCTGACTACTTGTGATCTCTGTCATCAAATAAATAAATAAAATCTTTAAAAAAATATTTGCAAACACCTAAGCCAAAGACTTGGGTGTGCATATCAAATTCTGGTATAAGAAGTTCTCTCCATGACCCTGGTCTCGCTTACGGAAAGCACATCCCTATCTGTCCAGGCCTTATGTCCTCGGCAGACAGAGACAGAGAAGCAAGCAGTCTTCTGAGAGGAGATGCGGGCACCTTGGGTAGGAGGCTGAGGACTGAGCCATAGGGTACAGAACCGGGGGAGCCCCTGGGCCAGTGGCAGGCAGGCAGGACTCCGACACAGGTACATTCCTGCTGCTTCCCTTGGAATATGAATTAGAAAGAATTCTTGGGCAGCTCAAAGTGGGGTGGTTGGCAGCCGTGAGTCAGCGAGGTGCTGCAGGCCCAGGCACCCTGCCGTGAGCCTCCCTGAGGACATCTTTGTTTGGAGCCCCTGGGCTCTCCATCGTCTCCAGCTAAGGCTGATTCTGAAACATGCAGAGAAGAGCACAGGCCTCTGAGGAGGAAGGACGAGAGGGGGACATGCCTCCCTGCCATCAGGAATCACTGTAGAGCCATAGTAATTAAGACAGCTTGGGATTGGCACGGGGCAGATAAATAGATCCGTGAAACAGAAGCGAGTCCAGGAGCTGATCTGTGCATATATGGAAACTTGATATATGAGAGAGGTGATGTACAAATCAGCAGGGAAGGATGGCCTCTGATCAACAGTGCGAGGGGGACCCAGTTATCCATTCAGAAAGAAGGGGGGAAAAAGAAATTAGATCTTTACTTCACACAGACACAAAAATCAATTTCAGGTGGATTGGAGACCTAACGGGAAAGGCAAAGACATCTAACGTGGTTGGCTCTAGGTCCAGCCAAAAATCCTTGGGGAAAAGCCTGCCCTTTAAAAGGAAACTAGTGGTCCTGGGATAATCACACAGGTTTCTTGGTCACTGTGAGGACTGCAGTGGGTCCCAGTTATCCTTCTGCCCTGATCTGATGCCTCCTCCTCCAGGAAGTCCTTCCTGACTACCACTCCTTAGGAGGCAGGAGACCTGCCTGTGCTCTGCTGGCCCCACCAAGTGGTCACGCCAGGGCAATAAGAACCACAATCTTCACACCCATGTCAAAAGCTCACATTTATTGATCCCTTGCTCTGCATCAGGAGCTTTACCTGAATGTTCCATTTAATCCTCACAGTAACTCCATGAAATAGGTTCTATGTTATTCCCATTTTACAGATGATGAACTGAAACCTATGCTAGAAGCGAAGTAGCTTGCCTTAAAGTCGTACAACTTCTAGGTGCCACAGCCAGGATTCCAATTGAATCCACCTGACTCCCAAGTCTTGAAAATGACTCTAATGATTTTCATACTGTGAGTCCTGACCTGTAAACACATGTGAAATCAATTTGCTAGGGCCAATATTGTAAAAAAATGAAATTAGAATAGACTAGAACAGAAAATATCTAAGGTTCACACACACAGCAAGAGTAAGTCCTATTTTAGAAATATGTTTCACGTATAAGTGGATACAGGTCTACTAAGTAGAGGTGAGAATATGTTTCTTGCTTCAGGTCAGGACCAGGAAAGTTTTCATTCCATGCAGCGAGGAGCTGTTGGGCAAAGATTACTGTCTAGACTTCGTCCCCCACCAAATGGGACCTGGTCGTGGCATTAGCCTCCTAATTTGCTAAAAAAGGAACCTGGAAGTCAGGTCCACTGGAACAGCTCCTTCGGTGCATTGCCATGAGCAAAAAAGGAGGTCAAAACAATTCTGTAAGGGTCTCTTTCAAGATGGTATCTTCTGGAGCTCCTGGGACTCTGGGGTAGAGGATAGGGCTCCTTCCTTTCTGTGCTCCCGAGTGCCCTTATGGAAGCCTGAGCATAATGAATGTTCAGTGTTTATTGAGCCTTTCTTGTGCACAAGATGGCATGAGAAGACCAGACATGTTCTCTGATTCTCAGCCACAAACCCCAAGGGAAAAGACACATGGCCCAGAAGCTTTATCCAAGAGGAGCTGGAGCACAGAACCATTTGTTGAATGTGGAGTGAGAAGTGGTCAGGACAGGGTTCTTGAGCAGGTGGTACTGAACCCGGGTCTGGGCGATCCCCAACCCCCAAGGCTGGTAAATGCTGTAGGAAGGCTCAGAGGTAAGAGGACAGGAGGGATCTGGAAAACAGGGCACATGCCCATCGTTGAAGGAAGTGAAAGTAGAAAAAGGCAAATATGGAAAGGTAGTCGAGCTAGGATTCGACTGTGAAAGGCTTGCACAGGGAACATATGGATGAAAACATGAATGAGTGACACTTAGGTGGGCCAGGCAGTAATCTCAACCAAGTGCCAACATCCCTGCGTCCCTCCTTACCCCACGGCCAGACTTACTCTCTTCCTGAACTCCAGGCTGGGCAGCTGGGTCTGCAAGGGAAAGCTTTCATCTCCCTCAAGAAAGCAGAACCAATCTGTGTTTAAGAAAATTGAGAGGGTAGCCAACTGGGATATTCTGCCTCTTAATTTCTTTGATGTCCAGTTGGAAGTGTCTTCTAGGTATTTGATTTTGTTTTCGTCAATAAATTGATTGTCAAATTTGTCCAGTCACCTTGATAGTTGGGTTTGGATCACCTTTCCAAGATAAAAATCTGTAACTTGTGTTACACATGTGGTAGGAGGTCCAAAAATCCAGTCTCCCAACCACGACTGGCTGCCAGAAGGTAGAGTGAACTTCCCTAAAGAGTGGGGGTCCTGGGGACAGGGGACTTGGAAACTGGTCCTCAGCTGTCCTTGGCTACCTGTACCTCCCACCACCACCACCACGTGGTGGTTTGGTCCAAGTCTAAACCCTTCTTTTGTAGGATTCCACGGCTGTTATTCTGCTCCTGCATGAGCCAGGGAACGCCATCATTTAGTTGTGGTGTGTAATTATTCCCTAAGTCCTCATCACTGCCCATCCCTTGGGGCTGCTGATGATTCTCTCCAATCTCCTGGGCTCCCTTCCTCCCACGGCTGCTCCTCAGCCACTCCCAGCAGTCCTACCCTGGAGGACTCATCTCATTCATCACGTAGAGAACTCCTACACTGTCCACAAGACCCAGCTCCAATGTCACCTCCTTGGTGAAGCCATTCCTGAGTCCCCCACTTCTACAAAGAAATCATGAATCTGTCTATGCTTCCCTACTTCCACAGACCTCCATTACCATTCTTCTACCATATTTAATGGCCATTTGTCTATCTCCCTCTAGGTTGCCTTGAGAGCACAGAATAGGGAACATTCCTAGAGCCCCCTAAGCACATTAGCCACAACACTTAAAAAGTTAACTGAGAAGTGTTTGAATGAGAACCCTAAATGATACGCTAACTTTCCCCTGCCCCACCCCCAACTCTCCCCTCATCAAGTCAGGCAACCAGAAAACAACGTCCTTGGCCACCATGAGTTAAAACCTCTGGGGAAGAGCTTTCACTCTTCTGTGAGAAAATATCATGCATTCAACATTTGTTAGAGGAAATAAAAGAGCCATACGAAGAACTTTTTTTTAAACCTCTGAAGACGCTGCCCATTAGAATATTCAAAGTCCTTGCCAGTCTCTCCCCAGTTCAGCACCCCTGATGTGTTTTTCTCCTACTGAGTAGTTAACCTGCCTGTGGTTGAGCAAGAGGAACCCTGGAAACCACGGCTTGCCCGTTTTTGCTTTGGCTGCCAAGAAGCTCAGTCAAATTCAGTGTTCAACCACCACAACCACAACATTGCTGGCACCTGGTGCTAGGACCTTCCCTCTTTTGCCACGTCATTTCTGAACTTTTTCTCAGCCTTAACTTACTAACTTAGGGACGTGTAATTGTTTACTTTGCAGGACATCTCAGGTCCTTTGTGAAACTGGAAACTGGATGAGGTAGAAAGAATGACAGATAAAGGAAGATGGAAAGGAAGGTCAGGAGACAGAAAGAGAAGAGAGAAGGCATTACCGGTGCCTCTGGTAACCGCGACAACGTACTTCCACTTCTCATAGTTATTTGGGAGACCAAGGGCTGAACTGATGGAACACGGTAGTCACGCGTGCTAAGCGTGTTGGTGCTCCCACACGCTCGGGAACAGGGCCCCCTCTCCTCCCACCACCGACAGTCACAGGCAATAGCTGTGTTCCACACTTCTAACTTCTCTGAGCCCTCGGGGTTCTTTCTTAGGATGTTATTTGGGGCTTCTGCTCCCTTCCCATCAGAGCCTCCCTGGTGCCGTCCTTGACCGTGACCCAGAAAGAGAAATGAACTGAGGACAGCAATTCACAGACTGTCCACTCCAGGGCAACCAACGAGGATAAATTCTGCCTACTGCCCCAGAGTCTCTTGAGGCCTCAAGGTCGAGGCCAGCAGGTATGGACACCCTCCTCACAGATACCATGCTCCAGATGATGGAAACTCTTGAACTCTCCAGTGTCTGAGCTAGACAGATTCTCAGGGTCTTTTTCCCCAACATGGAAAAAACTGAGGTACAGGCAGGGAAATGGACTTCCTCAGCTAATTTTTACCTGATTCATATATAGCCTTTGCCCCTGTGGTAGAAAAAACTGTGAGCCAGGAGCAATAGCACGGGGTTCTCAGCCCAGCTCTGCCTCTCTCTCTCCTGTGTGACCTCAGGCAAACCAGGCCAGCTCTTGGGGCCTCATTTTCCTTGTTAATAAAATGAGATTTGAGTCAAACTCCTTGCTGCCTGCCTGCCAGGATGGGTATGCAGGTCCTTCAGATAAGGGCAGGGATGGTACTGGAAGCTAAGCCACACAAGGGGAAAGGAATCCTAGGAGGGACTCCAGGAGCCATGTGCCCTGGGAAAGTGGGTGCTGGGTGTCATTCGGGTCCCTAGGAAATTACCTGGAAAAGGACTGCCTGGGGCTGCACCAAGTATTGTCTCATCAGCACGGGGCACCACTGCCATAGCATGGAGGAGAAAAGAAACACAGACACGTGAGAAGGAGGGCAGCACGAAGGAGGGCAGGGCATGGGGACAAGGCTGCAGGGCTGGCTACCTCAGACAGCTACGTCAGCCCAAGAGGCTTCCCCATCACCTGTGGGGCTCCTCCAGGCTTGCTGCCCAGCCTCAGGAGGTCCTTGGAAGCTGGGCCAGCGCCAGGTCAACCACACCCATCCTGAGGGACCAGACACCTGCCCACAGACACACCTACCCAGCGGGGTACACGAGCTGGAGTTGGGGAGCTGTGTCCCCAGGGCCTGGTCTGATGACCTGAGACTGAGGAGGCAGATGGGTCTGGATGCCTCAGGCAGCTGGGTTGGAGCTGGGGCCGAAGGACAGAGGTCTCCCTTCCTGGCCTCTGCTTCCCCAGCTGTCTGAGGGCTTGCGTATGATCTCCAAGTTGCCTGCCACCGATGATGGCCCTTTGCCCCTCTAACTGGTCACCTGACAAAGTAGGGATTCCCTCTTCAACAGATGAGCTCCAAGACAAGAAAAGAGAGACAGAGGGGATCCTATAGGTTAGAGGAGACTTGAGACGTATCAATGGGTCGCAGTGTGGACCCTGACACCCACAAATAGACTGTAAAAGATATGACTATAAAAAAATATTATGACATTATGAAACTGTTATAAACGCACACACAGATTGTATATTTGAGATATCTGTGGACATTACAGATTTGCTAACTTTTTAGGTGTGATAATGATATCGTGGTTATGCTTATTAAGGTCTTATCTTTAAAAGAGTCATTCTAAAACATTTACAGATAAAGTGATAGGATGTCTGGAGTCAGCTTCAAAGCGAAGGTAACAAAGTTCAGTTGTTAACAAATTGTGGTCTAACTATGTTACAGGATACTACTCCACAGTACAAAGGAACAAGGCACTGAGGCATGCTGTAGTGCAGGCGAGCCTAAAAGCATGCTAAGTCAAAGACGCCAGGTCTGGGACACCTGGGTGGCTCAGTCAGTTAAGCATCTGCCTTCGGCTTAGGTCATGATCCTAGGGTCCTGGGATCGAGTCCCTCATTGGGCTCCCAGCTCAGTGGGGAGCCTGCTTCTCCCTCTCCTTCTGACCCTCCCTCCTGCTTGTGTCCTCTCTTTCCCTCAAATGAATAAATTTTTAAAATCTTAAAAAAGAAAGAAAAAAAGAAAGAAAGAAAGGAAGAAAGAAAGAAAGAAAGAAAGATGCCAGATATCAGTGGGGTGTCCCAAACTGGCAAATCTGTCACACAGAAGGCAGACCAGGAGAGGCTGGAGCGGGAGCAGGAAAGGGCTTCATCTATAAATGCACATGAGGGGTCTTCTTGGAGAGAAGGAACTGTTCTAAAACTGGACTGTTGGTGTTGGTGGTACAGTTCCATAAACGACTAAAAATCACTGACCTGTATACTTCAGATGAGTGAATTTTATGATATAAAAATTAAAATTCAATAAAGCTGTGGGAAACTAAAGCAGAGTGTAGGGGCAACAGAGGCACCTATGAAACAGGACGAGCCAGGAGTCAAGAACCATTGAATCCAGGGGCAGGGTGCTTACAGGTTAATTAGACTGTTTTGTCTACTTTTGAAATCTTCCATAATTAAAGTCAAAACTCCCAAACAGCCCATATTTGAGCCACAACCCCACTTGCCACACTCATCAACTGTCCAAAAAACACCTGCAGAATAATGTGAGCACCCCAGAGGAAGCGGGCAGCCAGGAATCTGCAGTCTGGTACCTCTCCATCTTCAGGGATGTGCCAAGGTTCCAAACACAAGAAGCATAAGGCCTCCTGTCTGCTCGGCCCTTTCTAGCTGGCAAAGTCCTTGCAAAGACGGAGCTCACAGAGGGGAGCCCCTGTGTGCCCAGTGCAAGCTCAGTCCTGGCCCGTTACCCCCAAAGCGGAGTTAGGATTCGGCAAGACTTCACTATCAGCCCGGCGGGGAAGCTCACACATTTAAGGCGGGATGTCCTCATCTGTAAAATGCTGTGGCCCCAGGCCGAGCACCACTCCTCCAGCTAGGGAGAGAGCCCTGGAGCTGCAGGCAAAGAGCAGGAAGGTTCCACACTTTTATAACCTGCGTAACCCGAGAACCAGACCTGCAGAGCACATGTCAAGGAAAGTTCTGTCGTGGGGCACCTGGCCGGCTCAGCATTTGTGTGTGCAACTCTTGACCTCTGGGTTGTGGGTTCGAGTCCCATGTTGAGTGCAGAGATAACTTAAAAATAAAATCTTTAGGGGCCCTGGGGTGGTTCAGTTGGTCATGTGTCTGACTCATGATTTTGGCTCCGATCATGATCTCAGGGCTGTGAGATCAAGTCCCACATTGGGCTCTGCAATGGGTGTGGAGCCTGCTTAAGGTTCTCTCTCTCCCTCTCCTGTTGACCCTTCCCCCCACAAACAAGTAAATAAATAAATAAAATCTTTAAAAAAAAAAGGGGGAGGGGGGAATAGTTCTGTCTTGACTACCATGGATCAAACCAATTTGCAGGGAGCCTGGAGACCAGACACTGCCTTGGACTCCCTCTCACCCTGGGATGGGGTCAAATGAGGGATATGGACCAGAACCGGCAGAGGCCTTCTGGCTATAAGGCCTCACCTGGGGGGGGAGGGGTTCTGTGCTCTCCTTAGGTATGGTCCTTGCCAGTTTCTTGCTGATGTGGCTGAGGTCAGGCTTAGGTCACACTCTGTGGGATTCTACCCTGAATCCAGATGCCTGGCCGCCGTCAGGAGAAGAGTATGGCTAAGGAAGCCTGCCAGCCCTGAGGCCAGGATGACAGGGTTCAAACTGGACAGGCCAAGTTCACCCTGTGTGGAACCAGGCCAGGCACCTCATGGTCCCGGCTGCTTCTCTCATGTGTAACATGGGGATACATGACCTTCCTCCCAAGGTCGTGAGAAGGCACAAAGTAGATGATAAGAATGTCAAATCCCACAGGGAAGTCCTTTACGTGTCTTTAGGCCTCCCTACATCGGTCTTGGGTGTGTTCTCAGGGGCTCCACTTTCTACGAATGCCACGGGAGGCAGTACTGTTCCCTCCCAGAGCCAATGCAGGGCCCCTTATGTCCTCCACTCTTCATTCTGGACATGTTCTCTCTGACTGGGGCATAAAAAGCTTGCTTCTGCTTTTCTGATGACCTCATTCTCATATTTTGGGTTCTCAGGGCAAGACATATAAAGAAACACTTGAAAAATGCTGCAGAGGGCAACAGGAGAGATCCTGTGGTGGGGGGACTGTTCTCGGTCTAGAGTCTATCATCGCCAATACCTCGATGTGATATTATACTACAGCTTTGCAACATATCATCACTGGGAGAAACCAGAAAAGGATATATAGAATCCTTTTGTATTATTTCTTACAACTGCATGTAAATCTGCAATGATCTCAAACCCAAAGTTTAATTTAAAAAAAGTAAGAAACAAAAAACAAGGTTTTAGCGTTCCATCCCCACTGAACCTAATAAAGATGAATTAAACTTCTAAAAAATGTTTGCTGGGGCGCCTGGCTGGCTCAGTGGGTTAGGCATCCGGCTCTTGATTTCCACTCAGGTCGCGGTCTCAGGGTCCTGGGAGCAAGCCCTGCGTGAGTCTGCTTGTCTCCCTCTCCCTCTGCCCCTCCTCCTACTCCCCCACTCTTTCTCTCTTTCTCAAATAAATAATTTTTTAAAGTGAAATCAATAAAATTAAAAAATTGGTTGCCGGGGTCACCCGGGTGGCTTAGTTGTTTGACTCTGGAGTGACTCTTGATTTTTGGCTCAAGTCATGGTCTCAGGGTTGTGGGATCGAGCCCTGCGTTGGCTCCAAGCTGGGCATGGAGGCTGCTTGGGATTCTCTCTCCCTCTGCTGCTCCCTCCCCTCACCGCTTGTTTGTGTGTTTTCTCTCTTAAAATAATAATAATAATAATAATAATAATAATAATAAATTGGCTGTAAGGGGCTGCTGTAAATGATGCTTGCAAAAGTACTCCATAATCTACAGTGGTACTGTAGATATTGACTGGGGGGAAAGAACTACGTGGATTCTGAATGACCTCCCTTTCCAGGAAGCCTTCCCCGATTTCCCCTCTTGCGCGTTCCTAGAACAACTAAGTGGTCATACCTCCATCACTACACTTAGCACTTCGCATCATACACCTAATTGTTTAGGGTCCTCATCCCCGCACTGGAGTGTGAACTTCATGAGGATGGAGCTGCGTCTCCCTCCTCTTTGTGACAACAGTTCCTGGCCCAGTGCCCAGCTCTGAACAGATGTGACATAAATGCCTGTGGAACCAAATGAGCTGGGACAGGTACCACGGCCTGGCTCTGCCAACAGCACCCGAGGTGCTTCCTAGGGTCACTGAGAGGATAAGTGATCTCAGGATGCTTTTATTTATCAGAAAGCACTAGAGGCACGGATGAGACATGCTCCCTATTCATTTGGCTCTCCAGATCTGTGCTCGTGCTTGGGCCACAGTGGATCACAGTGGAATCAAATCAAGAGATTTGCGAAGTTTACCTGACTCATCACCCCCTAGTCTGTGGCAGCCTGCCAGGCACCCCTCCAGCACACCCCCAGACACACAGGCAGGTGGTGTGGAATAGCAGGGGAAACCCCGTGGAGGAGACTGAAATTAGAGATTGTAGTTTCTGTCCAAGAGAAATTTTTCCAGCAATGACTAACAAGAAGCTCCCCTTTTTCACCCCTGACCACTTAGAGAATTTTAGTGAGCTCCAAATCTCAGAGCCCAGAGGAACTCAGGAGTGATGATGAAGGCTGATCTTTTATCTGATGTTTGAATCCTACCAGTGACAGAGAACTCACTACTTCCTGAGCCAACCACTATCTGGCCACCCAGCTTGGCTATAAGAAAGTGCTAAATCTGTCCCTTTAGGCCTCCCTACATTGGTCTTGGGTGTGCTCTCAGGGGCTCCACTTCCTGCGAGTGCCATGGGAGGCAGTGCTGTTCCCTCCTGGAGCCAATGCAGGGCCCC